CTCTAATGAATCAGACACAGCTCAACTTTTTAAACTTGTGGAATCTAAATATTAAACTTATTTATTTTAGTATTATGTTCATTGTCTATCCTATTCCTATTCCTTCTATCCTATTATATAAATTTCGACTAATCTCTCACCCTTCGAGTATAGAGTACAATAAGCTTTAAATACATTGACACACACTTTCCCTTCGTGTGTAGATGTTAGACATTTTTCAAAAACAACTTAAAATTGATGTTCTTGATGTTGTTGTTGTTGTTATTGTTCCTGATACAACTACTATTGCGCTATAAATTAAAAATTCTTTCACAATCACTGAGCAATGATTAGTGAAAACTTTGGCTGCCGCACATTTTCAACATTAGGCGCGTTAAATTTTCAATGTGGAACAACAACATAAATACAACAACTACAACAACGACAACATCAAAACAATAATTCAGTTTAGCTGCTGGCCGGATTGCACGATAGAGAGGGCAGAAGGCAGCCAGATAGTGGGACCCATAACTCGGGGTGTCAGACTGAAAAGGCAATGCGCGTGAATTTGAAATTCATTGGAGTGCAAAGTTGAAAAAGGCCAAAAGCATTCGCAGAACTGTGGGAGAGCTATGAATAAAGTTTATTAATGGTATGGGCATGGGACTTTATGAATTAGAGGAACCGTGGAGATACATACTATATTTTCCAAAAATGGGGAAATGCCAACCGCCCCATGAGAACTGCGAATAGTTGGATGGGAAATACTTTATGTAAGATACACCACCAACCACGCATTAAATTTAACAGCTAAATCCTTTAAACTCCCTAAACCTATTAATAGAAGGAAAGACAGTTGGACTTAATGGGAGCGAGTGGGAATCAATTAAACCGCTACACACCGCTACTAAAATGGGCTTTTAGAATATTTTGTGTTTCATAATTTTCCCTTAAAGCGGAATCGGGCGAAAATAATATTGGGGCTTTATGGTGACAATGATAATCTGGATGAAAACATTTAACTTTAAGCCTTATTTATATTTAATTTCAAGTAATTTTTAGATTTAGCTGAATATGTGGTTTTCTTTTCGCATGTTTTTGTTTACAAAGGAACTATATAGTTGAAAAACCTAATTGTTTTCAAATATAAACAAAAAGAGTCTATCAAACTCCATATGATAATTTGAATATTCAGAAAATTACGTTTTTTAGAAAACATTCCCTCTGTGAATACAATTATGCAAATCAATAGAACCATATACTTCCTTACTTACATCTTATAAAGTTTAAAGAGCAAAACAAAGAATATAGTATATTGGTGTGCTTTGAGAATTTTTTTCTTACTAAACAATCATAACGTGGGTGAAAACTAACTAAACTTTCTATGCTATATACATATACAGGGGCGATACAGAAATCCCATTCAATCCATCACTTAATTTAATTTTTTCAATGATTCAAAAACCAACTATTTCGTTAAAAGCAATTTGTAAGTGAAAACCATTAAGAATAAGAAATGTTACTTGTTGCCTGAATAGTTTAGATTATTGAACAAATCGAAGATTTTCTTTATCGAAGTATGAAATTAAATATGTATTTAACAAAATATTCAGTAAAATAATGGAACAAACTTATTATCAATTAAGACATACTAACATTTTCAAACACACATTGTACAATTTTGGAATTGCAACTTTTTGGAAAGTTCCAGATTAAATTAATCTGATTGTTGCGGAAGTAGTCCACCAATGAAACCTTCCGGAATTAACCGACGGGTTTTTATGGTGATGTGAGATCCAACGAAAGCAACCCCAGGCTATAAATTTCAAAAACGTGCATGTAAAATGAATATTTTTGTACAAAATTTTGAAGTCTTACCATACTTGATTAACTCAGCAGATGTATCGTTACCAAGATAGATTCTTCAATTTCAATATTTTGAGATATTCAATAAAAACATCAAGAAATAGTCAAATGTAAGCAAGACTTTTATTATTTCCATATACAGTTTTAAAGAAAGTGAGAGACGAGAGGGCTTACCACTGCTTTTTATATTGCTCAACGGAAACACGGCCAGGTCCGAGAACGACGACCAACAACAGACCACCGATGACAGAGAGGGTGTGAAAGCAATTGTATTTGAGAATATCTCGCTTTGGGTCCTCCACAAACCACCAGGCATTCATATAAACATTCCACAGACTTAGTACCAGGGCCAAGGACAAGGCAGCTAGTCGCGTCCGGTAGCCAAACACAATGAGCATCATGAGCATGGCACCCAAGGCATTGTGCGTCAAGGCCAATAGGCCCATTTCAAAGTGCAGGAGTGTGAAGTACATGACAGCCAGCAGTATGCGACCAGTCAGCTGCATATATTCCTGCGAGCCCGTATTAATAAGCAACGGAACTCCGGCGCCTGTACAGTAAACATCGGTCGCCACATTCCTCGACTCAACGTGCAGCAACAAAAGACCGCCGAGAAGAGCGAAATTTCTGAGCAGCACTTGCAAATTCCAGGATACGGCATATATGTGAACCTGCAGCAGCACAATGGCAGCCAAAAGCGTGACCGCCACATTGACGTAGATCCGGAGAAGGACCAATGCACAGCCAAGCAACTGAACTACCAGATTTGTGGCCACAACGAGCCAAGCGAGTGTGGGCGAGCAGTCCAGTTGGAGCTGCAAATAGGCTCGTTGGTCGTACCACTGAAACCACATACGCAGGCCGTCCTCAAAGAAGGTGGCGGTCAGACAGAAGCGAGCGACCGTCGGCAACAAACGGCGTGAGCGGCGCGTGACCAACTCAGTCCAATCCTCCGCCCGTGACAGCAGACGCAGCCACAAGGCATCCACTTCCATAACTCAATTGTCTGCGACGCCTGACGCCGTTTGTGTTGTGGGCTTAAATGCTTAAATTTTGACAAAGGAGCTAGCTGCTTTAACTTTTCAAGAAAAATGCAGAGCCTCAGATAAATGTTAGATATCCTTTTGTTTTGACTGCCTGTCACCCGACTGTCAGTTTTGGTGCTAGTTGTGTCAGCCGAGAGGGCAAAGTCTTGGCACACTTTGCGGTTTTCGTTTTCATTTGGTTTTATTTACTCTTTCCATCACACAGTGCCCCGGAGAGCAACTTGAACAATTTCACTACACTGGTACTTAGTTACTTTTCAAAACTTACGACAACTTTCAAGTGCTTTTTTGTGGAAAGACTTGTCGCAACAGCAGCTTACTACACTCGTATCTGCCTCTTTGAGCCATAATATCAATTCTGAAATCTAAGCAAACTCTTAAGGCCACTGGGCAATTAGCTTAGGCTATGTGCAACAAAATAAAGTTCGAGCACTACTTAAATTACTTAAAGAAAGCAAACAGAGCAATTGCTTGAAAAGCCTTGAATGGAATGGCTTCCCATTGAGAAGCAAGCAAATATTTTACAAATAAATCGTCCTTCGGTTGCTTAATAAGATCGAAGCAGGGAGGTTCGAAATTGGCAATTAAGAGATATCAAAAGGGCAATTTTCCAGATTTGGAAAAGAAACGTAAAATAGTTCTGAATAATACTTCTACACAGTAATATTAGTTTCAATATTAAAAAACAAAAACAACACAAAATTGAGAAAAATTTTTACAACTCAAAATACTGCTGAATACTGCTACTGAATTCACGTAGTAATTGGAACGATATTTCCATTAATTTGTTTGGTTCGTCATTTACTCCTAATTTTCATTTTCCAAAAAATAATTATTCTTGCATTAAAGCAGCTGCTTGATATTAAATGATTATTTCTATATATTTAAATTAGTTCATGAGGATATATATTTATTGATACATACATACTATATAGTTTACAAATATTTATTGACTTCCAATTATAGAGTCCATTAATAAATGAACATTTTTCAAATGTCCTAATTGCGTACATTTTTTATATTCTATTGTCGTAATTTTATATTCAACAAAACTATTTAATTTAAAAAAGAGGCCTCTTCAAGGTGGACTCGATTCGAGTAATAATTAATATGAACTGCCACACTATACTTACTAACATTTATTTATTTATTTTTAGTTGCACCACATCTTGGCCAATTGTGTTCGCTTGCTAAACATTAAAAAAATTCGAAATAATCTTAAAAAAGCAAGCAAATAGAATATATTTTTATGAAATATGTAACATTTACATTAAATTTTCAAAGTATTTTTAGTAAACAGCATTATTTTGGAAATTCCAAAGTTTATTAGCATAGCTGTCTTTAAATTTTAACAGCGCCATTGAACAATTCATTGGCTTATACTATATTTATTTTGTGAGCAAAAGAAATGAAATTAAAAAAAAGAAACCCACTCCTATAAGCCTTTCTAATGCCACTCAAAATGGGGGCTCGAATTCAAAACCCACAATTCATTGCTTCTCAACAGAAATGTTGTCCAATTTTCAACAAAATTGTTTAGCACTTCAACGAATACAAACACACTCTCTCCCACACACAGACACACACACATTGAATATATACGCTTCAGCGCCCAACTATTTTACAGCTCTTGACCCAAATATACAAATGTCCGATGGCCATTGAATATGTTAAGGCTCGAAACAAAAATATTGTATTTGTTCTAATTTGCATGATGAGTTTTGACAAACAAAAACAAAAATAGCAGCAACAACAACAATTTAAAATAAATAAAACCAACAGCCATGCGAATTTTCTAATATATTTTTCTAATTTATCAATTAATCTCTATGTGCGTAAAAATGTATCAAACATACATGTACATGTATAAATAGATATCTGTTTGTGTATCTGAAAGCACGTCTGACGTCATTAAATTAAACTAAATTATGGCAAATGCATGACAGGCGTCCAATTTGTGGGATTACAATAAACACATTTGCATAATGCTTTGTCGGAAAAACCCAAATGGTTTTTCAATAGACCCGAAATAGGAATACAATCGATACGAATCGACACATTGCGCAATGAATTGTTCAGCAAACATTTAGATTTGTTCTTCATTTGCAGCCTGCGCCAATGGAGAGCTAATTACGCGATCTATCCCCACATCCACACCCACAACAGGAACAACAATAATCCTAGAAATGCACAGCAATCAAGAATCCATAGAACAAACATCAATGCTGCAACAAGAAACGGACAATGCTGCGATACCTAATGATGATGATGAGGATGACGACGATGATGTTTGGAGCGAGCGACCCGATACAGCAACACTAACAAAAGGCTTTTCAATTCCCACGTATTTGCCTCCGTTTCCGGACTTTATAGCCGCAGATTTACCGCCGCCACAACTGACAGCGCCCGGCCAAACTATGGCCGCAGCCTCATCCCAATCATCATCATCATCATCGTCATCGGCATCGGCGGCGTCCGTCTCATCGACATGGCATCCGCAATCTAATGAGGAGCAGCAACAATCGCCGGCGACACAGAAACCACACATGCGATTGCACGCCTACGATAGCGAACAAAAGGAAATGCAACTGAGGCGTGAGAAGCAGCTGCAAAGAGAAAGAGAACAACTGCCAAAGCGGCAGCTTAGCCTTCCTGCTCTCAATGTGACTGTGCAGGCCGGCCAGCACGCCTATTTGCCATGCCAGGTGAGTAGTGAGTAGTGTGGGCTGACGGGTGAGGGGGATGGGGGAGGCAAGTGCCAGCCAGAGTTGCATTGTCGTTGATAGCCGTAATTGAAAGCCTCCGTTTGGGGCGCACACCTCCTTCGCTCACTTGGAGAAAACTTTTTTGTCTACGCTACTGTTTTTTTCATATTGACATTTCCATGATGCATAATATTTAATTTACATATACCTGAAAAGTAAAGTAGAAGCGAGTTTTCCTTTTTGCAACAAAATATATTTACCTGTTGTAAAAAAATTTATTTATTTATATTCGGCTCGAAAGACCTTTCGTTCTAGCGAGTTTCAAAGTTCAGCTCCACTTCCAAAACAGAACGTCTTTAAAAACAAAATACCAACAAAAAACAATGTTGATAAAATAATTAAATATTTAACAAGTAAAAAAGCTAAAGTCGGGTGTCCCGACTTTGAAATACTCTGTACATACATATGTTTAAAATAATAAAAAAAAAAAATTAGGAAAATAAAAAAAAAATTTGATAAATTTTACCTCTTTTGGTATTCGAACTCACGTAGAGAGTGTATAATTGCATATTTACATAGCAATTGCGTCTGTGTGAGTGTATGTATGCCTATGCGCATCAATTCGTGTCTGTGTAAACATATGTGCAGTCAACCAAAGCACCGGCATCAACAACAGCCGCGGGCAGCGCTTGGGCAGCGCTCGAGCAGCGCTGTAGCAGCAAATATATTTATGGCTATAACTTCTTGTGAAATCGGTCTATCATAGTGAAACTGTGGCATACGGAAACATAACAACTAACTGGGGGTATTTCCAAAATTTTAGTTCGAAATTCCAAGAATTACGGGAGTTAGAAAAAATTGCGATTTGCGGGGGTGAGGGGGGAGGGAGGGAAACTCCAAAATATACATTTTCTGCGTATTCACACAAGGCATATTGGACTAAAATTTGGTGTTCCTAGGTCTTATAGTCTTCGAGATATAGGTGATTATACGAATGGAAAATCGGGAAAATCCCCATAGGAGGGAAGTGGGGGGGAAAATCAAAAAATAAAACAAACTCGTATAGCGTACACACATAAGGCATCTTTGTGCAAAATTTGGTGTCTCTAGCTCTTATAGTCTCTGAGATCTAGGTGATCATACGGACGGACGGACAGACAGACAGACAGGGCTAGATCGACTCGTCTCGTCATGCTGATCAAGAATATATATATACTTTGTGGGGTCTGCCACGCCTCCTGTTCTGCCTGTTACATTTTTCAGCTATTAGAGAAATTATGCATTATAATTCCTAACTTCATGGCGTTACTCAAAGACTGTCAACTTAATATCTTAACAATAAAAAACGAGCAATTTAATTTATAACAAAATACTAAAGAATTCGTTTTCATAACAATTTTTCTGCACAGTCAGTCCAAAGCCTTATATTTGTACAGCTCTTTTCCAATGTATTTAAACTGTTAAATGGAAAATCAACAAGCCAAGTCCAATTCTTGCAAAGAGTTGTATAAAAGGGAGAAAGCCAAACTGATTTAAATGAATTTTAAAATAATAAAATTAAGCAGTAGCCATGGGTTTTTAATATAGCCTACTGGACGTGATTCAGAATGTTTCATTTCTGCAAGTGCAACTCAAAGGATATTGAAACGTTTGTGTCCCTTTGCTTTTATTGCAGTTGCATCAGCACTCGAACAAGCCACTCTCCTGGGTGCGTTTGCGAGACGAACATATCATAGCTGTGGATTATACGACATTTATCAATGATGCACGTTTTGCTACCCTACTGCAGACCCCTCCCGCAAATTCAAGCAGCAATACCAGCAATACCAGAAATACCAGCATTGCCACTGGCACCAACAACAACAACAACAGCAGCAGCAACAGCAACAGCAACACAAGCTGGACGTTGCAAATCAAATATGTCACTCTCGAGGATGGCGGATGGTACGAATGCCAGCTGGCAACCGAGCCAAAAATGAGCGCAAAGGTGCAACTGTGTGTGATAAGTGAGTAGATGTCGCCTTCGAGCGCTATTTCGTGCTTTTCAAACCAGCAACTAGCAAATTGTGTAGCTTTGGTTTCGTAATCTACAATTTGGATGTAATTGGGATTCCACGAACCAAGAAGTTGCCTATCTCTTCCTATCTTCATAGAACCCACAAAGAATATTTTTAATATTTTCCATAATTTAATTGAACACAAATCAAAACACTTCAATGAACATCACACTTGGCTTCAATAATCCTCATAATTTGCATAGTTTAATAATCATATTTTATTCAAATTTTCATAAAACCCACAAAAACCTCTTTATTTTTGAGCTTTAATAATCCTCATAATTTTTATAGTTTAATCATCATATTCTATTCAAATTTGCATGTCTTATCATTTACAAGTATTGTATTGTATTTATTTATTTATTTCTGACCAAGAACTGTCAATTTAAAAACATGAAAACATATAAAAATAAATATTCACTTAATTGAAATAAAGCAAGACAAACAAATTTATTAAAAATGAGTAGATGTTTTAAAGTGCTACAATTAAAATATTTTAAATAGCATAGCTCTCTAGGCCAAAGAGATGACTAAATTGATTGTAATGGTTACAAACAACCCAAAACAAATTGTGCAAAGCATAATTGGTGGTAAAGCGATTTAATCTTTCTACAATATCTTCATAGAATCCACAAAGAATTTGTTTAATATTCTCCATCTTTTAACTGAAGAAAAATCATTACCTCTCCTCTGCCACAGCACCAAAAACCGAGCTTATTGGCGATCAACAGCGTTTTGTCAAGGCAGGCAGCAAAGTAGAGCTGCATTGCATTGTACGGGGAACTTTGGAAGCGCCCAAATATATATTCTGGTATCGTGGTGAGAAACAAGTCACTGCCGATAACGAAGCCTCACAACAGAATGGTTGGTACACTCAGATCGATCGCAATATATTTGGCAGCACCGAGCACAGTCGCAATACCGTAAGTTGAAACTATTTACGAGGTACAGTTTAAACAAAATATGCTTGCAGATTGGCACACTGATTATTCCGTTGGTACGTAAAACCCACTCCGGCAATTATACATGCGAGCCGGAGAATAGCGCAGCTGTTTCCATGCAATTGCACGTACTAAGTGGTAAGTGGGATCATTACCAAAAAAAAATTCTTATAAGTGTGGAACCCAAAATTTATGGAACTGATCTTTCAGGTGAATATTCCGCTTCGGCAATTATGTCCACTGCCGCTCATAGACAAGGTCATGGCTATAGCAGCCTACATCAGTGGCTAATCTTTTTGTTGGTGGCTTTGAATAAGACATGATTTTAATTGGAACCATTTGTTGTAACTCTTAAGTCCCGTCTAAGACATTAGTTAAGCTAATTGACTTAAATTTTAACATTTAAAGCACACAAACGAGAAAATGTCAAAACGCCCTACATGCATAAGAGTAAGTCAGAAGTCTCCACTAACTATTAAGCACATGTTTTTATACCAAATCTAAATAATAAATACATATGATGTTCTACTTGCTAGGCTAACTTGTAACAGTACGATTATTATAGACTTTAAGTAATCTAATTTGCAGTTAGTAACACGAAATAAAGCCAGAGGCGTATTAAGCAAAATCTATTTTCAATTTAACTTAAATTTCCAAACAAAATGTAGCATGCTCTGAGGATTGATAAGAGTCGGCTGAAATGTTCCCAGACGTTCAAAAAATTGAAGAAATAATAGGAATTACTGTGACCCATCCATAAGACTACTTAACGATAAGTAGCGTTTCAATAATTATTGAATTGCTTACTTCTTCTTGTATATAGTTTCATTTAATTAGTTTGAATTCAATTCGTGTTAAAACTTCGCGCATCAATAGAGGTCACCTGGACTTCCCAGGCGTATCGCCTTAGCTTATATTAAACAAAAGTTTTAACAATATCTACCGATGAGTTGCTGTACTACCCATTCTCACAATGTAGATGAAAGGGAATTTTAAATTTCAATGTAACATGTTTTTAAATCGATCCAAATTCATATCTCGTTGAACCCCCTTTTGAGTAATATTTTCCTTAAAAGACTTTACAATACCTCAACCGATAGGCGGTATCCCAATACATCGATTAAATGATTAGAAATCGTATTTAAAATTATTAAGGAAATAACAATAGTAGTTATATTTTTTACTTTTCATTTTTGAATTTTTATACAAGTGTTTGGTCTGTTGTTGGAATTGTGTTTTGCAATATAAAACCGCTTTTAATTATTTAATAACCTTTACGCTTTATAGCAGAGATACAAAATGCAAAATCCGCCTCTAATTGTTTACCTTAGCTCATTAGCTGCAGCACGGACACTAAAGGAGCAACTGCTGCTTGTTCTTCGGCTCAAGTTTTTCCATCAAATTAAGCCATTTTACCAGACCACAAGCATAATTCAAAAGAAAAACCCCAACCGTGAGCGTTGAAAAACCGCAAGAAAAACTTTTTTCATTGTGGCAACATTTAAACCGTCTTTTGTCGTCGTGTGCGCTTTGTTTTGTCTCGTTTGTCATGTTTGCCTTTCGGTTTTCCTTTCTCTTCATATATTTTTTTTGTTGTTTTATGACACGCCAACTATAATTTTCCACGATTTTCTTGATTGCCCGCGCGCTTTACGGCGCTCAACGTTCGCTCATTTATCATCACGCTGACCAAACCGAGTCATGGCCGTAAGTTTATAGGCAACTTTGAATTTCTTTCAACTTCATGCCTGGCCACAGGAGTCACTTCTAGAGATGTGCTTAAAGGTAACATAAAATTGATAGTGAAGGAATCGAACACGTGTAAATTGCAACAAAAAGGGTACAGCGGAAATAATAATTAATAATTAATATTCATATTATAATTTTCTAGATTGTGAATAGCACGAAAATTTTAGGAATTTTGTCCTGCACGTACTATACATATAAATATGTTCAATATTTCTTCTTCATAATTCTAGTATTTTGATTTTCTAGATTTTTCAAATTAAAACTAATTCAGGTGCAATCTAGCGTGCTTGATGACATGCAACATTTCTGTACCACAAAATGGCTGCCTGATCCTTACAGCGCATTCGCAAATGTAAACAAAACACATTTCAAATGTAAGCAAAAACTAGCTGGGTACATAGTCCTAACGGCACGTTCTAAATTGTAAACTAGCTGTACTTCTCAATTACACATGTAAATAAATAAATACAATACAAGTACAAGCACAGAAAAGTGTGAAAAACCCAGGAGTCTGCTCGGACTTCTATTAAATATATTAATTTAGAGAGAAGGAGTCTCTATCTGTACTATCTGAACTTTACAAATGGGTACAAATGGCTAGATGTATATTATTCTTTAAAATGAAAGATGTACATAAAAGTATATCACCTCCTTGCATCGAATAAGTTGTACAGATCCTATCCTTCCTTTCTATAGTACTTATAGCTTTCAACTGCACTTACACATTTTGAAAAATATACAAATAGTTCAGATAAATAGATAGATAGATAGCTAAAAAAAACTTGTTACCAATTTATGGAGTATTGCTCCATGCATACAAAAGAAACAATTTTGTACATATGCATACTAATACATGCATTCTAATACTAATAACACCACAATTATTTTATTACTATATGTCTTTAATATTCATTTGTGATCACGCACACATCTCTAGTTGCTTCATTTTCTACACACACACACCTTGGCAATACGCTTTTCATTTCTCCGCCAGCCACTCAACAGACAATTTACAGTTGCATCGTAGGCTGCTGGTTGCTGGCTGCTGCCAGTCCTGAAAGTCGTCCTGCATGTCGTCCTGCAAGTTTTCCTCGCGCCGCCTAATCACTTTTTGATTTATTTGCGCTTCCACCATGTCGTCGAAAGTTTTTGCGAGCTGCCTTTTGTTGCTTGCTGTGCTGCCCAGCTTTATATTGACTGGCAAGGCGGGCAACCTTGGAGAGTTGAAGAGCGAGTTGAGAACATGGCTTTGGGCAGATTAGTTATGAGACTTTGTTGCCCTTTTTGAGCTCTGAGTTGGGCTGAAAAGATTGAAAAAAGAAATGCATAAACGCCTATTCGATGCTTAAAGAATTTTCTACTCGTATCGCTCACTTTTCATTCACATGGTTCTGAGTTCTGAGTGGCAAACAAAAGAAACTTTTCAAATAGACGACCCCTATCCACTATCTGTCTATCTATCTTACTATATTCGTGCAGTTTTTTGACAATTTTTGGCGTTTTCCAGGTACGATGGTGGTCAGCCACAGGCATTTTCTTGTTTCAAAAATAAACAATGTTGCCGCTTTCTTGCCATTTGGCCAACAATTTTTAATGGGTGGCCAACAATGCCAAGCATTCCCATTCACTTTAAAAGCGATCCCAACCAACTTTTGCCATAGTTGTTGTTGTTGTTACTGCTGCTGTTGTAATCAACAGGCAATTTGCGTTGTTGGCACTAAACAAGCGGCGACTGGCAACCGGGAAAGTGGACGCTGTACTACCCAACGTTTAAAGTTTTCCGCTTCACTTTTTAAATTGCATTGTGGGTGAGATGGTGTGTGGATGTGCGGGTGTGTGTGTGTGTGGAAAAAAAGCAACTTGGTCTGTAACTTTTTCCCCGTTCAAATGAAAGGAACTGCGCATGAAGTGTGCCCTTCTATAGGGCGCATAAATTAACAACAACAACTTTTAAGTGCATGTAAAGTTGTTGACTTATTAAATCTGTTTATAATACTAATAATAATAGGCATACGCGTTTTTTACAGGAAACGAAAGCATTTATTCTGTATTTATATGAAGTTCGCATTTTCACTGCTATCATTAAGTTATTAACTCTATCGGCGCTCTCCCATCTTGGCCGCCTTTAGCATGCAGCTTTGTGGATTACACAATGTTGCCTTTCGCATGACTGCCTCTTACCTGCCTCATAAAATATTCATTTAGGTAGGTCGCTTTATGCACCTGTTGCTCCATGGGAACAGTTCACAAAGCGTCCACCCGACACCCCTTCGAAATGCACATGGCAACTGCGCATGACTGTTCCTAGGAATTTCAAATTTTGTTGGCGCCAATCTGCACAACTGTTCTCAGCAAACAGCTGAGCTACTCGTCGTTAACTATCTGGCGAGTACAGGCAACTAAAACATACGCAAACAGTTTGAGAGATTCTGAAAACGGAATTTTTTAAACAATTTGGTTTTGTTTATTCATTTCTACATATTTATATTAAAAGTAGAGTTATATGAAAACTTTTGGAAAATAAAAATATAGTAATTTTTTTTTTTTAATTTAATTTGTGTTAATATTTTTGATTTCTTCATCTATAATACGTTTTTATTAAATCTTATGACGTCTCTGATTAAGCATTTAAATGTATTTTTATCTTAAATTGTTTTATTATTTTATATTAATTTAATTTCTGTTAATATTTTTGATTTCTTCATCTATATTTCGTTTTTTATTAGGTTTTATAACGTCTCTGATTACTCTATGATATGAATCAGGGCACACCTTACCGAATCAGATTCGTTATTAAATATTATTCTAATTTTTATAGTCATTTTATACCCTGTTTACTCTTTAAATTAATTTAATTTTTTAATAGATTCAAATATTTTGATTACATTTGATTTTTGTTAAAATAAGTATCAAATTGAAATTCACCAAAGAAACCAAAAATATAAAAAAAAAAAATTAAAATAAATATAATAATGTCGTAATATGTGTATACACTTAGGATGAGTAAGAAATATTAGCAACAAATATTTTTAAAGTCTGTTTTATTACTCAAAGACAATATGTGACCAATTGTTTGAAGTATCTTTATTCAGTCTTATAAGTACAGACCCCGTCATTAATGTTGCTAATATGTTATTAATAAAAAATAATATAATATAATATAAAACTAATTTTGAGTCTTTAAATATTTGAACAAGCAATTCAATTCTTGTTGAATAGTCATTCAAATTTAAACTCAGCCAGCAGTCCTAAAATGTGATTTTCAATAAGTTCTAAATAAAGTATAATTTTAGAAAATTTCCTGCCGTAAATATTTTCTACCATTTCGATTGCAATTCGCACTTAAAAAATATTATGATTGCTTTAATTAAAAAAACTTACCACAGGCTTTCACCCGCCCACTTCATTAAAATTCAATTCTTTACATAATTAACTTTTTATTTTGCATAAATATGCACAATTTGTTGTTGTATTTTTGCTTGATATATTAATTGTAATAAATTTAAAACTAAACGCACGTTAACTTTAACTAAAAAGCATATCTTATTATTGAATTTTAAACAGTTAATCATAATGTTTGCTTTCTTCTGCTTCTTTCGAACGCGTGCTCATAATTTCAATTTTTATACACAATTTCCATATTTTTTATAGTTTTAATTGTTAGTAAATTATTAAAAATAGGTATTTGTTTATTATGCACTGATTGTTTAGAAAATATATGTGATTTATATAACTATCATATGTGTTATTCGTTTTTGCAATTATTATAAAAAATTGCAATATTTGAAATACTTGGAATGCACAAAAAATAATTTGCTGAATTAATTTAATTTTCTTTTGTTTCGTCTTCCGTTTAATTGCATTGCAAAAACCGTTTTAGAAAATAGCGACAATAATAACGGACATAAAGAAGTCGTCATATATAATTATATACATATAGGCGTATATAGTATATACTTAGTTTTGTTTAAAGCCATTAGGTTCGTGTGTAGTGAAATCCTATTTGATTTAAATTGGTACGCGTTTCGTTTCGTTTTTGCTCATTAAGGCAATAATTTGCTTGTTCATATTCTTGCTTTTAAAAGGTGTAATAAAACGTTTCAATTAAAAATATATATATATGTATATTTATATAATATATGCGTTTGTGGGGTAACTTCGTTCTCTTTCTTGTTTCCACTTTTATGTGTAAATATAAATGTTACTTTTTAATAATTGAATAATTGGACCATTTGTTTTGTGGCGTGGCTTAAGAGCTACGCGTATGTAAATATGTATAGACTATATATAAACCATATGTTATGTATTTGCTCCACACAATTCCCAGGTATTTAATATATATGTATGTTTCAGTGCGATAACCGAAAAACTACTACAAAACGTACAGATCTAAACTAATGCACATCATTTTTACATGTTTACCAATACTACAATGCAATTGTTGCAACACTTTTCAGTTAATTATTCGATACGTCTTCAACTATACATTTATATATATGCATATAGTTTGTATATGTAAATATTTATTTCATTTATTTCATTTATTTTGAAAAGTCATGCGGACTTTCGTTGCCACGTTGCGAAGCATTTTTTGTTTATGTTTTTTAATCATATGCGTAAAATAATGTATATTTTTGTTTGCTTTTTGAACTTCTAATTACTAATACACTACATTCTTGCTCATCAATAATTGATTTTAGTTAACGTTTTGTGGTTGGTTCCATTTTTTGTTGTTTTTGTTGTTGCTATTGTTGTTAAACATTCATCAACTACTATAGAGGGCGACATACAAGTACATAACTATGGATTGGTTATTGCCTTGCTTAGCAAATTCGTTCAGTTTTTGTGTTTTTGTTTTTTGTATATATAACTCTTTCTATATCTTATATAGCGCTATTTAACAAACAAACTTGGCCCCAAATATACTGAGTACATAAGTGTGTGTATGTGTGTATGTACATCTCATATAATGTCTATTGCTATCTGTTTCTCAGTGCACCGCATCAATGTCACGTTGCGCTCGCGATATTTTGAGTTTGTCCTTGGGCGTATGATCGTCACCCGATTCGAGGGCAAACATCTTCATTTTCTCCTTAAACGACAGCTTTTCGGGTACCGCATCGCTGGCGCGTTGTTGTTGTTGTTGCTGCTGCTTCTCGGCCAAGCGACGTTGGCGTGGATCTCTGTGCAAAATTAATGAGAAGAGTTCTTATTAATACTATAATTATAATTAGTCAATAATATTGTGACTCACCGGTAAACCTCTTGGGCGCCGATAACACCAGGCGTCGACTGTACACTGGTGGTATTCCAGAGCGCGGCATCGGGCGTGGCGGGCATGGAGGGCAGCATTGAGGCATCAATGTTGTGGGGCAAGTACTGCAAGAAAAATATACATTTAGTTTTCCAGTTTTCCAAAAGATATAGTATTTTCGTTAATTAGTTATATCTTGCTTATTAACTTACTCCTAAATCCTCGCGTATGGTATCTAAATCTTGATGCTCCAATGCTCCATAATTGTCGAGCAGGGAGGGTGAGTATTGTTGGAGTTGATGTTGTTGTTGTGGGCTGCCCATGCCAACAAAATTGTTGTCCTCATCGTGGAAAGAGACGCGTTTGTTGTCACGCAGCAGAAGGGGCGTGCCGCCGCCTCCACCACTTGCCGTCACATAGGCGGCATTCAATTCCATTGCGCTCAATGGAGAGGCTTGCATGCTGTTGTTATTGTTGAGACTACCACTTATAGTGTTGTTATTGTTGTTGTTGTGTTGGCTGTGCAGCGTTGACTTCTTAATCTCCACAGCCGCTGCCTGATTGCTGGTCGCCGTCTTAAGCAGACCCATGGCGGAGCTTACGGAGCTTAGACCGGAGCCGCTGCCGCGCAATTTTTGTTGTGACATTATCAGATAAGAGCTATTGCGTTCTGGTGGCGGCGGTGGTGGCACTGTATCGAGTGGTTCACTCTGATTGTTGTTGTTGTTGTTGCTAATCTGGGTTTTCTCTAGCGTTAGCTGTGTCAGATCCTTAGCAAGACTGGATATGGGATGTTCGGTTTGCAAGTGTCGCTCATCAGCAAAGCTCGCAGATTTTTGTGACTTGGATGGTGAGGAGGGGGCCACGCCTCCGGAACCGCCCTCCGAATAACGATTGTTCTTGAGTATGCTCTTGGGTTGTTGGGTGTTGCTGCTGTTGCTGACCACCACAGGCGGCGCCGTTGCCGAGCTGGGCGGTTGAGTAGCCGCAGTTATTGTCAAATCGCTGGTGGCATTATCTGTAACGCTGCTGCCCACGGTGGTTGGCCCAACGCCACCAACATTGTCCAGCACGGAGGCAATTTTGATTTCGGTTTGTCGGAAATTCGTAATGGGCGTTTGTATGGCACTCGCTTGACTGGCCAACCGAAACACTTCCTGCACATTATCCTTGTCGTATGGGGTCTCGCTCTCGTCCTCCTGCTCCTCCAGTTCTTGGGCCCGACGCTCAAAGTCACGCTCGAGTATGAGCGTCTTCAGCTGCTCCTCCTGCTGTGTGCTGCGCGCCATTATGGACGAGAGCTCTCCAATTTGTTGCTCCCGCCATTGCCTGATGTGCTCGCGGCGCATCTCCAGGTCTTTTTCGCGCTCTTCACGCTCCCACGGATTGCTGCCATGCTGATAGCTTTTGTGCTGTTGCTGTTGTTGTTGCTGCTGTGACGGCACATAGCTGCCCTTGGGTGGATCCAGAGTGCTGGCGACATAATTCATGCCCGGCACCAATTGCTGAGTGGCTTTATACAAAGGATGTGTGGCTGTGGGCGGTAGTGGTGGCTTGTCTTCGCCCATTTGTGCGCCACTGGCATGCAAATAGTTCGTCTGTTGCTGCAGCAATTGTTGCTGTTGTTGTTGTTGATGCAACAGTTGTTGTTGCAGTCGCTGCTGCTGCTGTTGTTGTTGCTGTTGCTGCTGCTGCTGCTGAGGCTTGGGTGCTGTGCTGGGTGGTCCCAAATTTTGCTTACTGGGTGATTGCAAGCTGCCTAGAGGTTTCGGTGGCAAGGCTATGAAATTTGTTTGACCCGGCGAATGCTGTTGTTGCAAGTCTGCTGCATACATGGCACGCAGCGCTGGCGAATGTTGCGGATAGTCTAGAGTACCATTTTGATACGAATAATCTGCAGCTGCCACATTCTGCATACTCTGGCTAACGTTCAGTTGCATTGAATGTTGCTGCTGTTGTTGTTGTTGCTGCTGCTGCTGCTGTTGTTGTTGTTGTTGCTGCTGCTGATACATGTTGCTGATGTTGGGCATTGAAGGCGCCATCATTTGTTGCATGCGCAATGAATGTTGATTCTGCATGTCGCGTTGGAAATTCTGTTGACTTTTGGCGCGATTACCGAGCGATAGAGTTGCCGCATGTTGTGCTGCAAGTTGTTGTTGTTGCTGCTGTTGCTGTTGCAAGCCATTTAGATTACTGCTGCTGGCACTGATGCTTGGCGCAAATTGCTGCAATGGATGTGTCTGTTGCAAGTGCTGCTGTTGTTGCTGCTGAGTGCTTTGTTGGCTGTGATAATAGGCAGAAACAGGTCGACTGGGTGTTAGATTAGAGCTCAGTGCTTGCGCCTGCTGTTGCAGATGCTGCTGGTAAGGTGGTTGTTGTTGCTGTTGTTGCTGCTGGTTTAAGCCATTTGCTGCTACAAAACTGGCGTTTGGTGCGCCGTGCGGGGAATTGCCATTGTACGCGCTCATTCCGGTATGTGACGACATGGGGGGCCTGCAAAGGAGAGATGAAAGCAATTAGTCCAACATTTCTGAGAATAGTGTTGTAGTCAAATGGAATTACTATTCTGGTTGTAAAACCATTTATAACTTTTTTTTAAACAGTTCGGTAATAAATATTAGGGCTTTACACGTTCACAGAAATGACGAAATCGATCAGTGATGGAGATGTGTTTTGCGTAACACTTTGCAGTTTTCGGTGAAAAAATATTAATGAATAGCGGAAACGAAATTTCCAAACGGCTAAGAATTAAAAAACGTTTAGAAACTTTTTGAAATCCATATGAAACAAGCTATAAAAGCTTTCACATCCCGTATTTTTAAAGGGGAATTATAAAATAAAACCCAATATATTGACCGTTGCTTTACTTTTTAGATGATTTATGCCCACATTTGGAATCAGTATTAATAAACTCATAGGTTGAAATCAGTGTTCAGTAACTCATAAGGTTCTGTTGGTCTGGATAGTAAAATGAATTCATGGGATTATATTTTCAATCATCGATTACCTAAAATTAAGGCCTTTGGAATTATTCAAGGCACAAATTTCATTATGTTGAATTGAACAGCGAAGAGATATCTGATATCCTGATGAATAGTTGATTCCTTAAGAAAACTTATGGATTTATTATTTAGAAGCGAAATATTTATCTTTCTATAATTGTTTAGCCACATTAGGGTTCTTAGAGAAAAGCTGTATAGTTTTAATAAAAGATAAATCAATGTTCAGTGGAACATTATTAACGAAAAATGATAGGAATTAGCCCTATTTTCATACCTGGTTCGAAAAGGTAAATTCTAGATATATAAATCGGTTAAGATCAAAATGTTCACATTTCATAAACAAGCGTTCCCCTATTCCATTTTAAAACCTAACACAATGAAATTATTAAATTTATTAAAAGTCTCTTAATTGCATTAAATTTATAATTGCGAGCGCATCTCTAACGAAAACTGAGATTCACAATACGTACAAAATGTATAAAAATTGAATGAGGTGCCTAAATTAGCTCCAAAGAGTGAAGTGATTTCCGGCACATCTCTGTTATGATTTGGTCGAGGTACTGTTGTTGATTTTGTGACGACCAGCAGCAAACATTTGTTATTGCCACAAATTACAGAGAGGCCAGTGGCAAGTGCCATGTGAGTGACTTTGTGTGTGTGTGTGCCTTTATGAAATGAAGCAAAACTGCAGGTGCGTGTGAAGCAACAACAACATTAACAGGAACTACAACACACTAATTACTCACGTACATTTGCCATTTCTAACAGTTGATATTCGCTTTTAATGGGTATGAAACCATAAAGCAATTTCTTTAAACGTAATGTTATCCTAGAAGTACACACACAGGAATCGTTAATTTAAAACACCAAATCTTTGCACACCCCATACACATACACACACACACACACAAACACACATACAACCACACATGACATATATTGAGGTGTTGGTCACGGCAACTTGTTATGAATTGACGTGAATTATTAATTGGTTTGCGGTTTCGGTTGAGCGTCACAGTTGCGTATTGTGTGTGGTTTCTGCGCTCGCGCCAAATGGGTGGACATTGGGAGGCTTATACATATACAAGTATGCAGGCGCACATATACGTGTACATATTTACATCTGTATATTAAATAGGCGTAGCATTGGGACACTTAAGTGGATAGCGGTAGGTGACATTTATTGCTTGATTGCTTCTGTTAACTAGTTATATTAACTGTGAATTCATTTTGTTAAACGATCGATAAACTCATGCAGCAGATTGCCAAATTCGAATTGAAGCTTGAGCTATTAACGAATGTAATTAACTGAGTCATAATATAAATAGTCCTGAATCAAATACCAGGGTACATTTCTGAACAATTTGTACATTTATCGTTTATGAAAAACATTATCGCTATTTTGTGAAATGTGAACAATTTAATTGCTGCACAAATAATTAAGTAAACAGGATTTGTTTTAAATATATATATGACAGGCAGATGGATAGAGCCGAGGTGTCGCAATCAATAGGTTTGTGCTAGCGTTAATATATATAAAATTTAGTAAAATAGTTCAAAATTCAATAATTGTTAGCGCTAAAGCGACGGCTGAATGGTTTCAGAAAGTTTGTACAACCATTTTGAAGGACATGCTTTTCGACAGTCTGAAACACTCGTTCAAAATGCTTCCTTAACATGCAAAACGTGGCATTTAGACTGAAGGATATTAGTTTGAAAAAAATAAAAGCATTTTCTTTGTTGTAAATAATCAAAATTTAAAAAATGAGACTTATTAAAAATTCTATACAATTCTATACTCTTAATCAAATTTATACAAATAAATTCCAAATTTATTCCATTTATCAAAAAACTCTTATAAAAAATAAAATTATTCTAATTTAATTTCTCCAACAAATCTTTGCCACATAGTTATTTTTCAACAATTTTGAATCAAGCTTTATCAGAGGTAGCTAACTACAGAAAAAATTGATTTAATGAGCACTTAGATTTTACAAAAATTGAAATCCATTTCGTACATAATATTGAAAGAATATCCGAATTTTTGTCTATAAAAAACTTTCATAATAATAATAAAACAAAGAAATTAGCTGAGTTTTTTGTGAAGTTGAAAAAATATAAATAAATAAACAAACAAACGGCATTTTAAATATAATGTCAACAAACTTACAAAATTAAAATCTTTTAGCCAGCTTCAGAAGCATGTCTAATTGAAAATAAATAATAATAGTGAGTAGAGAGCAAGTGAGAATATATATTTGAAAGAAAATAAATGGAGTCCATTGGAAACTTTCGTGAAATCATGTTCAAGCTATTAAGCTTTAAAATTGGAATTTTATAAATGCTTTTCACTTTTAAAAAACTCACAAAAAAAACTTTGGTTGAGAAGATTTTTTGCATTCAATAATTGTTGCCCAACCAGTTGGCGAGGAATTCCATTTCGCTCCTATCTCTTTAAATTTGTCGAAGCCAGCGCAACTGTGCTTTTACAGTTGCTTATAAGTACATATGTATATGTACTATGTATATATTTTATATGAGTGTGCGTATGCCTTGTCCTCAATTGTCGTATTGACAGAAGCCACAACACAAAACTTGTGCAATATGTTCGCGGTTTTATTTCGAATTTCATACTGAATGGCATATTGGATGGACAACCCCCGTTCCCATTCCTCCGCCAAACGAATGAATGCGGAAAAAAGCATTGAAACAATCTAGCCCGAAACGAAAACAAAACCAATCGAATACAAAACCATCTAACCCACGTCGAATTTGGTTCAAAATGTTACATACCTTTCGCTTAAAATTGGTTGACTTTGATTTTGTGCCCGATACACGCTCAGATTCTGATAGAAGCCCTGTTCGTTGCCATTGTTGCTGCTGCTGTTGTTGTTATTGTTGTTGTTGGCCAGATGACCAACACCGCCATTGGGTTGACCAGGGATGGTGGTATTGTTATGCAAACTGTGCGTGCTGCGTGATTTGGAATTGGTCAGAGCTGCAGAATATCGAGAGAGGGAAACGAATTGTAGAATCGATTAAAAATATGGGATTTCCTTTTTGTTTCTTATTTTTTGTTTTAGGTTTTGGATCGATTAAGGATTGTGCTGTGGCTGTGGCTAAAGGACTTACATATAGTACCAGATCCGGTGTGATGATGCAAGGCCGGCACCGACTTACTGTTCTGTAAATGTGCAGCTAATGGATTGCTACTGTTGTTGTTGCTGTTGATGTTGTTATTGCTGAGATTTAGGTGCTGATTGAGGCTGTGACTGTGACTGTTATGGCTTTGGGCAATGAGTGGACCACTCTGGGCCCCACTCAGGGATTTGTTTCCGACATCAGGGTTGCCAACACCCATGCGCGTTAAATCGCGTTCGGACATGCGGCGATTACCTGAACATTTCGACCAATATTCCATTCCATTAATGCATTGTGGGAGTGTGCAGTTTGGGGATTATTGTGATTGTTGGGGAGTTGATAGGCGCGGGAAAGAGAAGAGAGGTATTTGCTTCAGTAAAATGAACGTTAAATGACAATGTTTATATAACTACTTGCTACTTATAAAGTATGGGTGTATAATCCATTTTAATTCATTATGCATATATTAATTAATAAGTGCTATAAATACATAAATATGTACATGAAAAATCAAAAGAAAAAAATAATCGCCAACGCATTACTGCCTTTATACAAATTATTATAACAGGCAAATGCGAACCAAGCAAAGCACGCTTTACTACATTTATTAAAAATACATTAAATCAGAAAATACGATAATGTTACTGTTGAAACAACAACAATAATAATAATAATAATAGGGTCAATAAAAACCATTTGCATTTGCATTTTGTGCACTTGTGTGTGACAGCATTAATAAAAATAGAAAGCAAATAGAATGTTAGGGCCGACTCGTTTATACCCTGCAACTGATTGCTCTTTAAGGCATCAATCGGTTCTATGGCAGCTATATGATATATCGACTTAAATTTAATGAAACTTCAGAATATGGGAAGGCACTTATAAGCAGCAAATTTTGTAACAATGTCGTACCAAGAAATCAAGTCGCTTCACTAAAATTGATTTTTTTCACCGGATATATAAAATAATGGGGTTGTTTATGGTTTGCCATAAACTTGCTATGCGTATGAATTTAACAAGTCTACACGCAAAGTTTGGTGTACACAGCTGTACTGACTCCAAAGTTTCCGATGTTCATACAGTCGAACATAGGATCAACTGAATGGACATAAGGTCAAACAAAGGATCATATACATACATAAGTATATACCTATAACATCGGTGTCCTGATAGATAGAGTAATGGCTCTCGCCCTTGAATTACAGAGTATAAAAACAACAACAAAAAAGAGGTCAAGGTTTGTAGGCGTTAAAATAAAATTAAAAATGTATAGACATATCGATAAATTTTTTCATTAAACGATAATTGCATAAAACGACAAAAACGGTAACAACGTAAATTTGCGAAAATGGAAAAAATAATATGAACTGCAAACAATTTCGACAGCTTTAATCAGGTTGAACATTTTAAAGTGAAAAGGTCAATTGTTTCCTCGAACTGACAATAAATGGCGGATATTGAGAAATTGACTTAATCATGGACACATTTCTCAATCATTGAATTAAATAGTGTCATTGAGCATCTCGAATTCAATTATTAACAAGAGAGAACGATACAGTCGAGCAAACCCGACATTGTAATACCCTGTACCCAGGTAAACTTCCGTCACTGAGTTATATGCGTCCATAGCAGCAGCAAAAAGAGGAAGAAGAGCGAACTTGTTTGCTGAAGTTTGGGGTTGTTGTACTGGCGAGAATTTGTTTTGCTAATAACTTTTCTTAGAATTGACCGAATTGAATTTTGAACAACAGTAGACAATTATATATAAATTATGTGTGCAAAGTTTGGTTTAGGTAGCATTTGAAATGTGGACGCTATTGACGAAATTCTGTAGGGAAAATTAAAAGAAATAAAATAAACTCGTCCTTTCTCGGACCTAGGAGAATCTGGATGCCAACTTTGATTATTCTAGCATTTATAGTTTCTGAGATCCTTGCGTTCACCCAGACGGACGGACGGACAGACATGTCTAGATCGATTTCTCTCGTCATGCTGATTCAGAATATATATACTTTATGGGGTCGGAGATGCTTCCTTCTGCATGTTACATACTTTGCACAAACCTAATATACCCTTTTTACCCTACGGGTACAGGGTATAAAAATGGTTTACGTAAGTCTTCCGGCTCACTTAAAGCCTTTGTCTTCCTACTACTAAATCTAAGCCAAAATAATCGCTGAAGCTACAGGTTTTAGAGAAAATTTTTAATTCAGATGCTTGCGAAGATTTATAATTATAACATTTGAAATTGTTAAGATCTAAATAATATTAACAATAACAAGAATCGAAGAAAAACGGGTGTGAATTTAAATTTGGGTATTCTGCTTAAATAAAGAGAGAAATAATTAAAAAAAAAAAAACACAAAGGTTGGGGGGTAACCATGGCACAGTTTTCGATGTTATTAAACTATAGTACTTCGTACAAAAATTAAAGTAGGTATAGTATGTATAGTATAGTATGATCAAAGAATTGAAGTTATAAATAAACCAACTCGGGAATTTGTTTAATGACAATTACAAGAATGCCACTAGAGTATTACGCCTTCTATACCGACCATGTAGACACTAAACAATGTTCATTTCAGACAACTTCAGAACAGTGTAATGAATATCTACGCCATTGTTTATTTTGAAAAACTGTTTTCGAAGGGGAATCAAATCGTGCTGTTGCTTATAAAGACTTTCAAAGGAATTATCATTGTAATAAGCAGTTTTTGAAAACTAATTAAAACGCACTACAGAAATGGGCAAAGAGCTATTGTAAGTAGTTTGGTGAAATAAAGGCTTTAGTTAACTCAATAAAAATGAAACAAAATCTAAGCAATTGAAAAGGCTACAAAATGAAGATGGAGTAGAAGCAGCAACTCTAAAACAGAAGCAATTAAGACGTAAATGACAACAACAAGAACCTCGGTGCCGCGTAATTAGGTTGTCATCTGCACAAAGTGAATTTTGGGCCTGCAGCAGCAACGTCATCTCCATTCTCATCCTCAATCGCATCCTCGTTGTCGTTGTTCACAACATCGTCGTCATCGACATCGACAGGCAACTCAACTGGATGTCCATCAGCAACATCAACACAATGCTCGCACTCTGAACAGTCAGAGGCTGTGGAGGAGCAGGCCTCGGCATCGCTGGAGCTGCAGGAGGCAGTTGCAGCAACAACAGCAACATTATCGTTGCAATGGGGACAATTGTCGCACTTGTTGTTGCTGCTGCCGCCTGTGGCCAGGGTTAGTAAAAGTTTGGCACCGGAGGGTGGCGAAGAAGGCAAATGATGTGAATGATGATGCTGTTGGTGTTGCTTTTGATGGGTCTGTTGACGTGTCTGACGTCTGTGTTGATGCTGTTGACGCTGCTGTTGTGGTACTTCCGTTGCCTGTTGTTGTTGTTGTTGTTGCTGTTGCTTGTGCTGTTTGTTGCGTTTCAGTTGACGCACAGAGTGAGTTTTGCGATTTGTGCACATCACACTGCGACGGCAGGTCAAATGACGCTTCAGTTGTTGTTGTTGTTGATGTTGCTGCTGCTTTGGCAACATTGCTTGACAGCTGTCATAACATTTAAAAGTGGGCAACACATTGTTGTTATTGGTGCTTGTCGCCGTCACGGTGCTCGACAGTTTGCGACAGTGTCCACAGCAAGGACAATCGCAACTTAATTGTTGTTGCACTTGTTGTTTCTCTTCTTGTTTCTGTTGTTGTTGTTGTTGTTGCTGCAAGCTCACATCATAGTCCTTGCCATCGCTACCAAAGAGACTCCACTCCTTGAGCTGCTTTAAAATGTCGCTTTGTTCGCTTTGTGTTAGTTTGGTTGCCTCTTTGGAGGCTTCCTTATAGAGCGAGGAAGTGGATTGTGATTTTGATTTTGTCTGCTGTTTGTTGTTGCAGCCGCCCGTCAGATGGGCAAAGGACTTGTTGGCATTGAAAAAGGCGGCCATTTCACGCACCTTCCCCGAACCCAAGTTGGTGGCAAAATGTTCCGGCGATGGGATCATATGGGATCGGTGTTCTTCAACCAGCAGATCGTCATAGCTGCTGGCGCGTCGTTTCTGTCTGTTGCTTTTAGCTGTTGTGTTGTTGTTGTTGCTGTTGTTTGTTTTTGTTGTTGTTAATGCTTTGGTCTTGGTCGTGGTGGTGGTGGTTGTGGTGCTGTTCTTGGTGGTGCTGGCACAATATTTATTGCTAGTATGTACAGTTAGTGAGGAGGAACTTTCGATTTCATAGAGATTAGGAACTTTGATAGTAACAACAGTATTGGCGGTTGTGGGCGCGGGCGGTAATGGCGGCGGCGTAACGGTAAAAGCAACGGAACTTGGCGTATTTACATGTATCGCTGACCTTTTGGGTGTGCGCGACGAGCTCCCAACCACACTGCCCGATGTCGAACGCTGTGTGTTGAGCTCACGACGCTGCTGCTGTTGCGGTTGTTGCTGCTGTCGCAGTAACGGCATGCGCTCTATGGACTCGCTCGAGGAGCGCTGACTATTCGAGCCGGAGCCGCCGGAATTATAGCCGCTTGCGGAGCAGTTTGTAGCCCGTTTGGAATTCAGTTCACGGCGTATTTTTTGTATTAGTGGCATGCGTTCGCGCTCCTGGCGCGAGTCTAGCAAAGATTCCGTTGAGGAACCACCGCCGGCACTGCAGAATTTACTGATCGCATCATGGGTATGATATTTTCGATCAATGCTGGGCGCACGTGTCTCCTGCTCCTCCGACGATTTCGATTGTTCCAAGTCAAAGCTGACGGTCTTGCGATAGCCAGCTACTGGAGTGCGTTTGCTACTGCAGCCGGAGCTAGTTGTTGGGGTGGTGGTGGTGTAGGAGCTAGCCATGATGCCAGCTCTTAGCTTGGGCAACGGCTCCTCGCATTTGGCCATGCTGGGCGGTACGTAGACACGTTGTTGTTGCTCCTCCTCCTCCGTGGGTGAACCGTCATCAATGAAGGGTATTTCATCGGAATCTGCCACCGATGCTATGCCATCCTCATTCAGCGGCTGATGGGCATCACTGTACGCGCTGAAGGCGGTAAAGGATTCTTGGGAGGCACGCTTCAGGGATTCCTCATCGCCAGGCGTTGCAGCGGTCGGAGCCGGTGGATCCATGTACTCTTCAATGTATATGGAAGGGGGCGGTGTGCTGCGCAGTGTCGTGCTATTGGCCCTGCGACGCAAAGGATTAAAAGGCAGAGGAGGCGGCTGTTGCTGTTGATAATAGTTGCTACCACCGGACAAATGCAGATTTTGCTCATTGGATAGGTACAAGCTGCTGGCCGATCTCGCAATGGGTCGCGTGTCACGATACCGCGGATCGATGTGCAATTGATGGCCCATCGCACACAGTTCCTCTTGCAGACAAGAGGCGCTGAGACGACGTACGGGCGGAGAAGCGGCACGCATGCAGGCAAATGATTCGCGACGACTGCGATTTAAGGAATCATCGGAGACGGAGTTATAGTAGCGTTGTTGTTGCAGCTGATACGAGGAGTGACGACGCTGTTGTTGGTAATTGATGGGCAGCTGAGAGACGCTGGGCGGCGCATCTTCGATGGATTCAATTAGCAATATACAAGTGGGCAGCATGTGTTAGATCAAAGAACAGGGAGTAGCAATATGGAGCATGGTAGTAGTTACAATTTTGTTTAGCTGGCACATACTTGGAGCATTTTCTAAAACTGTATGTACGTGTGTGCGGTGTGAGTGTTTGTTTATCTATGTTTGTGTGTGAGATCTTAGAGTACCCAACACCAGCAATGATTTCAAGATCGACTGCTTTGTTGTCTAATTGTGATGAGTGTTTGTATGTATGTGTGTGTGTGTGTCGTGAATTGCCGACCTTTCCACACTACTCACCACGTTGTATGACCGGACTCGGCTGCTGCAGCAACGTGGCTAATCCATGATAGATTGCACCCTGTTTGGCCACTTCTAAACTGACAATGGGGCCAGTACGCACCAAATAATCGGCAGCACTGTAACGAGATCACATTAAATAATCAGTTAATGGAAGAATACTGATAAATTAATTACTTAGCATAAGCTGTATCTTCGATAAATAATACCACTAATTAATGGTAACAGTTTAGAATACATCTATTGAGCTGTCTACTATCTGCTTGTACGCTTGTCAATTTTTCTTACTACCCTAACTTTACTAATTAATAATTAAAGTGTTAGTGGACACATGACCGCTACTCACCGCTCCTGTGTAATGCCAATGAGGCTCTGTCCATCAACGCGCAACAGCTGATCGCCCGCCTGCAAACGCCCATCAGCATCCGCTGCTCCACCAGGCACCACGCTCTTAATATAGATGCCAAGACGCTCCTGTCCCGCACCCTTTGCGGCCACAATGGACAATCCCATGCCATTAGAGTTCTTATGTAATTTGATTAATTGTACCTCGGGCTGCGGTAACTTGTTCGACATGGCGCTCGAGGAGCGTGCCTGAAAGTGCCAATAATAATGGGCTAATTAATAAGGAATCTGAAATAAATGAGTTCGCAAACTACTCACATTAAACTGATGCATATAGACGGTCCAGAGTCCAATGGAAGTGGGCTGTGCGGCCAGTCGGCACATGCCCTGCTGTTGCAACGGATTAAGGAAGTCCACAAGCCCTGTGGGTATGCCACGCACCACATCGCAGCTGAAACCGTCGTCGGGCAGCAGCAGCGCCAAATGCAATTCTGGTGATTCCTCCAGGCGCACTTCACGGCCATCGGCACGTGTCAATTCATCGGCTACCGATTCAGCCATGCGTATCGCCGTGTCCACCAGATTCCGCGGAATTTTCTCTTGCTGCAGCAAGGCACCCATTTGCAGGGAGTTGAGGCGGAAACAGGAGCAGGCCAATTGTTGAATTTCCTCCACCGAGGATTTGGGCGCTTGCAGAAACTGCGCACACTGATTTATCTTGGCCAGGTGGCAGTCGGCTGCCAACTCCAGACCCTGACGCTCAGCCCAAAGTTCCAGCAGCTGCAGACGCTCGGTCATCACCTTGCCCCAATCTGCAGTACACATATGTGAGTTTGCCACGATCTGTTAAGAGAGATAAAGATAGAGAGAGTTGATTATTTTCAAAGCTCTTGAGACTTAGCCTTGTCGTATTGTGTTCTCAGACGGAGCAAAGTGCAACCTTCGTGTAGAGGGGCTCACCGTATTAAAACAGATAACATTGATATAGTGGAACAGCTGGGAGAACAGCTGGATGGTTAGCGCTGCATTGACGCGACAGCGACGCAATAGAGCCATTGCCGAGCCCAATACGGTCAACACTAGTCCCGCCGCTGAATCGTGATCGATGGTCTCGGAGAGGAATTGATTCAAGGTCTGCGACAACTCAAGTCGAAAGCAGTTGACCAGATTGCGAAAGGCGGTCTGTACACTCTCCGCCAACACCTCCTGCGCCTGTACACTGAACGCGCTGATGTGACGATCCGATTTGAGGAAATGCAAAAATTCCGAACTATTCGCCATCCAAAAGGCCAATATGCGCGGATCTGTGTATTGCTCTTGGACCACTGTATAAACGAGATTAGCAACATGATGCAGAAATATGGTTAGCTTGTGAGCGCGCTCCGTGGGCTGCAATTCTGGACGGTAATGAGTGGACGCGCGATATCTGTAAAGTAAGTATTGAAAATCATTGAAGTGAAGTGCTTCTTAATTGTAGTGCAACTAATTGCGCGTCTGTCTGTTGTGGCACCCTCCTGTACGCACGCAAATCAAGCGTGTAATACGAACAGTCCTTACCCTCTCCATTCCTACTCCTTTCCCTTCGCATCTGCTCTATTGATTTTTCCCCATTAAATGTCAAATAGCTTTCGGCCAGCGTGTGCGTGCAAGCGTGTGTCTTCATTTCACTATCATTTCCCGTTTTCACTTTTCCACCGAACCCCAATGAATCGAAACCCTCGCTAAATGTCCCGCTACATTAATATTAATAGCTCACAAATTGGGTCAATCTGGCAGCCAAGATAAATCATCATAATTGATAATGAATTGTTGATATGGATGAGCAGACAAGGGCCGGGGGCCACTGAGCTTCGATTCGTTCTGCTGGTAATGGCGAAATTGCTGCTGGGACTTGGCCATAACCAGGTCTTGGCAACACCAACATCTCTGTTACCGCACTGCACATTGTTTTGTCATGTGCATGTGCGTCAATCCGCTTTATGGTCGCATATATCTTTGCCTGATTTCAGCTGTAGCTTACAGCGTGCCCACTGAGTACTTAATATTGTAAATGAAGTTCTGATTCACTGAGCTTGATGCATTGATTGGAGCACTTGGAGCTGACTGTGATTGCTTCATGTTAAAAATTTTTTACTATTTCTTTTTTATTTCTCATGATGAATGGTGGAAATTGAGGGGCGAAAAAATACTCTTGTTTAAAGTTCAGTGCACATGTAATGGCGGCATTGGAAAATAATTTAATCGACTTTAAGAAAGTACTTAGGACGATTTATTTTTACAACATTTTTCTACAACTCTTAGGTTTTTGTATTAGAATTGCAGATGAAACAGTGGAGAGCTTTAAAGGTCTATTTGTTTCAATGAAATTGGCCGGATTATAGAAATAAGCTGTACGTATCAGTTGTCTGCACTTCTGAAGTCTACACTTTTCGTTGCAACTGAGTGCTCCTGCAACGCTCGATTATGAATTCCTCTTTTGACTTATCTACTGAATATGCCCAATTTATTTAAAACATTTATTACTACAGCATATAGACCACATACACTTTTTACTATTTCTGCAACTTCAGAAGCTTCATCAAATAGAAAAATTTCCTGACACTTATTGACATTAAATATACCTTTTAATCTTGCTTACAAATATAAAATATTAGGCAACATTTCTAAATCGCAAAATGCCTACAAACTTTGTAGTTCCATGAGCCAGACATAACTTTTCTTAGCTCATCGTTTAATGCGTTTAATGCTGCACGGCTTCTCTTTCTAACTTTATTTTGCCCAAGGAAGCACTACAACTTTAAGTTATACAGGGATATAATATCTGTATCGCAAAAGTTTTTTTTGTTAAGTTTAATTGCAAGCAGCGAGCAAGGCAGGTATAGAGATTATAATAAACATTTATGCCATTTAAAGCCAAGCAACAGAGCAGCAGTAAAACACTTAGAAACATCAAAGGCGCAGCCATTAATTAAAACTTAATGCACTCATTCCTCTTACGCATTCCCCCCGCAGTTAGTTCTAAACACTTTTTATACACCTCCCGTACAAACCTGGCACACAAGTAAAGGGAATAGACGGGAGCCAGCTTAAAGTGGGGCACATTGACGTCCAACTCGCTGATGATGTGACGCAAGAACAGCTCTTGATGTGTCTCCGGGAATTCCAGGACTGCTGGCAGAATGGGCTCCTGTCCTTGGCCATCTGCCACTCCTCCTCCGCTGCTGCCGGCCAGTAAACCGGGGCCGGGCATTTTTGCGGATCTGTGCAAAATGTAAATTGAAAATTGCAGGGCACGGGGAGGGGAAAAAAAGTGGAAGTGTTAAGTGAAAAATGTATTTATTAGTTGTGCATAAAATTTCCATAAAACAAATGCAAGGCAAAAGGAACATTGCTATGCAAACATAAAAGTGAATTTTAGCTCAAGTGGAAATATATATGTATTTTGTAAATATTGAAATGGATTTTTAAAAAATGAAAGCCATTGCAAACAAATATGAATAAAATGCAATTTAAAGCGCACACAAAAAATTTCAGAAATGTCGTCAGAAAAAACGCACAAAAAACGGTAAAAATAAATAAAATATGTGTGTGTGTGTGTGGGTGTGTTTGTGAAAATATGTTGGTAAGCACATATTGAAATATACATATGTGAATCGAGTGTAAAGATTGTGTGTATTTGTGTATACATGTTCGTGGTTATAGTGTGTTGTCGCGTTGCCTGTTGAGAGTTTAAATTTTTAAGGTTCTTAAAGCCGCACTCGGCGCTTCGCATCACTTAAAGTTGTTGCAATAAATTAGTCAGGTTTTGAATCAGACACTCACCTGTCTTGACTGTTCGAGCCACTGGATTTCATGCTCGAAATGGATTTGGTTTCATTCTCCAGATTACCTTCAATGCTCTGTCCATCGTAGTTGGAATTCGCCGTTGTCGCCGCTGTCGATGCCGCCGTCTCCTGACCACCATGTTTGCTGTCCACCACATCGCGCAGAGAGTGCAGCGTGTGCTCCGTGGAGTTGTGAAAACCAGCGCTATGACTCGACTGCTGATGCTGCTCGTATTCGCTTTTATGTGTCTGTATGGGTGAGTGATTGAGTGAGTGACCGAGTGAGTGAGTGTGAGGTGAATGCATAATGAGTGCTTTAAAAATTTAAGCCAACCCAAATGCGAATACTTACCGAGCTGAGCGCGCCATCCTCATCGTTCCACGAGCCCGGTGAAGTGGGTGAACGACTGTTGTTGTTGTTGTTGTTGTTATTATTATTATTATTATTGTTGCGTTGCCATCATCATTGTTGTTGTTGTTGTGTATTAATGGGCGTAGTGTGTTCGTGTTTGTGTGTGTGTGTGTATAAGTGAGTGTGTTTATGCGAGTGCAAATTATTTTGCATTTCATTTGGCGGTTTTTGGTGGTTTGTTCGTTTATTCGTTGAATGTTGGTGGGTGGGGTGCATGATTAATGTTTTACATAAAACATAAAAACAAACAACACATAACGAACACAAAAGCGAAATAGGCGTGAAAATAAATAACAAACATATATTTAAATATAAATGAATACATAACTCAAAAAACAAAAGCATGGAAAGAGCATTTAAATACGTGCATACATACATTTATAGCTAGATATATCTATATATGTACATATGTATGCATGTACTTGTATATAGCGTAGATATGAGCTTCTTAGAATGCGTCTCATTTTTAAGAAATGCTGATTTGCATAATGCAAAAAGTAAACACAAGAGCTTCTGGGCAAAATTGTAATGCAGAACAGAGCAGTTCCTCTACTTATTTCAATTTCCCTCCAAATTTCCAAAATTAACAACAACCTTTACTTGGAAACTTTGAACTCGACTATTAGGCTATTTAAAGCGTTTAATAATTTGAAGTTTGGCTCGGCTAGGATTATTTAAAGCATGCAAAGATACCAACTTAATTACTGCAAGATTAATAGGCAATCCCTATTAAGGCCAAACAGAAGACTTTTGAACCAATTCTTTATTTAAGTGAAATTAACTATTGTCATGGACATAAGCAAAGCTCGAGTAGTGAGGCACATAGTAGCTTTAGCTTCTTTTGTGCAGTCATAGAGAGCATTTCTGTCAACTAGACAGTGTCAGCTGAAAACTACGAGTTTCGAAACTCCCAGATGGACTAAATGAACTAAAATTACATTTCTGAAGAGTTCTCAAATGCAATTAAAAAAGGGGCTTTAACAAATGCTATGTCTTCCAATTGAAATTGTTTATAATTTAACATAATTACTGTATTTGATTGATTAATAAATTATTTGAGAGTTGCTTTGGAGTTAAATTGAAGCCCTTTTTATAATGCGTTTCTATTTTATTTTTACCTAATTTATTTATATTTTTACTGCCCAACTTTTTGTTAGCTCTTACATTTTTTCTGGCTACATACTTTATGGCTTTAGGTTGTAAATTAAAGGGACCTCATTTTATGAACTGCTTAAAGCCCTTGGTCTGATTAATGCTCTTGTGTACGTATACGTATGCTCGTATTTTGCATCAAAATGAAAACAACTTTGAAAAAGCCATAAATACATAGGCACGCACGTTTAGCACATTAACATAATAAATACGCATTTTAATTAAACTCTTGAACTTTACATCGATTGCACTCTTGAGCACTCACCTCTCATATAGGCATGCCGAATCCAGTTGCGATTGAGACAAAGCCAAATTGTAACGTCCATCTGTGGGCGAATCCAGAAACCGATACGAGGCTACACGTCCGAACATGACAACCGAACCGTTCTGTCAATCACAAACGAAGGAGAGAAAGAGATAGAGAGATCATTAAATCATTTTCAATTATTAAACATATCAAGTGTTGCCGTGTTAACGAGTTTGCCAATTCAATTTAACGCCTGCGAGAACGATTTTCATCCAGCCTCTGGCGTAAATTAATTCATTTCATAATTGTAATCAAATTAAATATTTACATGCGGCCTGTGCGAGTGCATGACTCGATGCTGCTGACACAATTTTAGTTGCGGCCGAGCGGCCTGAATGTTTTCAAATCACTGCAGCATTCGAACAGCAATGATTGGAAAAAATTTGGGGCGTTTCGAAATCAATGACGTTGTATGCACAACGACGCCCCTCAATGGGGCCAAGCATGTTTTTCGTTTTCATTACACTGAACAGAAAATGTAGAACATATCGAGCACATTATGCTTATCATTGTAAAATACATTTAATTACATCGATTTGTCCCGTAATCATATTTATATTATAACTTTATGGGATCACCATCGATGGTTAAGTGTTAACTCTCTTTAGGGGCCCTTTCACGAAATACTGGAGGCTGACATAATGGACTTCGCTTATACTATGTACACATATCATTATTTGTACATTTGTAAATCTGTATATAAAGATACAAACATAATTAAACTAGTTACCTTCCATGTCATCTAAACATTTAAAATGGTGTGAAAAGCTCATTTTCCTACTAAGTAGTTGACTTCCCACTACTTGACAAATTTTCGAAGACAATTAAAAAATTGTACTGAAGAAAAGCAATTGCTGATTAAAATGATGAAAACTTATTGAAGCTATAAGTTGATGTTTTATATATTTTAGATATTTAAATACAAGTATAACTTCACAAGATGACAATATTTTTTTGCAGTGCACCACATATCAGTTCCCTGTAGTTGTTTTTGTTTATTTAATTAAACATTTCGTAGCTGACTAGACAAGCTTTTGGATTTGAAATCTGTTTTTAATTAAGTCCATTTTTCGGGCGCCTTTTAAAGCTCAGCTCTGTGCGAATGATTGCGATTCGAAGTTTTGTCATTTGCATTTTTGTTTGGGTTCGTTGAACCGCAACCAGCCAAGACCTTGTCGGCAATTCTAACCCCCATTTGGCCAATTGAAATGGTAAATAAAATAAAATAAAATTTGTTCAGTGAATTACGCAAAAATTTATCTTCCCAATCGTGTGTGAGTGTGTGTGTGTGTGCGTATATGTGTCTCTAGAGACAGTTTGACGTTATAGCCGCTGTCTCGATTTAGCTATATGTATGTGCGAGTGCGTTTGTGCCTTTCTGTGGCTGTGTGTTTGTTTTGGGGAAGCACCGCCATCATCGTCGTTGTCGTTGTTAATGCCAGCAACGAACCACTGGCGCCTCCAACATCAGGTCATAAGTTTTCTCTGTTTATTTGGTTTCGAATTCATCAAGCGGAAAGTCAGAAAAGTTTATGCAGCAGCAAGCAAACTTTGTGTTTTTTTTGTTGTTGTTATTGTTGTTGCTGTGCTTTTTGTTCAGATCGTTGTATTTTGCGTTTATTTTTGCTAATGCGTGAGAACGAAACGTACGAGCGAGGGAACTTGATTCGTTTACCAGTTGTTTTAGTTGTCGCTGTCGTCGTCGTCGAAAAGTTGTCAAAACAAAAGATAAATCAACTGTGGCTTGTCGTTTGTGCGCCTGTGGATAATATATAACGGTTTGTGTTACACACATACACAGGCACGCATATGCACACACACACTGGCATCCATAGAGCCGGATGGGTTTATGGCCCAAAAACCTCGAGCATTTCAAAGGCAAACCCACAAAGCAACTTTAGTTGATGAACTTGAAATGTATGAGGAACAGGCACTCAGTCAGCCAGTCAGACAGACAGAAAGACAGCTGAATGATGAAGTGATTGTAAATTGGGGAGCGGAGGAATGTGATCCACCTCCTGGGTTTAAGGGAGCAACAAGTTGCTTACCGAATTTCGTTTCTCGATGGTTGGGCTAATTTTTTGGGGCACTGCTGCTGTGGACGTGAAATTCAGCCTCTGCTGGTTTGTTTGTCTTGTTGACTGAGCCATGAGCTGGTTAGTGAGAGGAAGTTGGCAGCAGCTGACTTACGAGGACTAGGATTTATTTTCCTAAATAGCTTAGATTAATGCGTTCTGACTTTTAAACGTATTTGGAAGGCTTTTGTTGTTGATTAAGAAAGTTACAATTTTCTAGGGCCAAAGTTGCAGTAAAGTTTACAGTCAATATTATGTAAATTGTCTTCTTTTTAGAAACCTCTAACAGGTTTATATTTGCAATAAAATCTTGTTTATATTCTATAAGTTTAAGTTTTTGTTTAAGTGTAAGGATAAGGAAGCTCATATTTTCCAGAGCCAGGTAAAAAGTGTTGTTCACCGCTCATTATAATCAATTTATTTTTATATTACATATAAATATTTTAATATTTTGTATGTACATACGTGTATATTATATTTGGTGTTTAAAAAACTTAAAATATCTTGCTTTAATTCCATTTTAGCTTTAAATTGTTGAAATCAAGGGATATGTCAAGGCTAAAAATGTTTTCTAGCATGTGTGAAATATGTATTGAAGGTAGCTTTTTAACAATAAAATCCACCAGCTTAGACATTTCTAATTAGAAACTTCTTCCATTGTTACACTATTCCGTTTAAGCGTTTTGCCCTAATCGGGAAGTTCAAAGCTTTCCTCTTCTTGCACAACACAAATCTAATAGAGTGGCAACCGCTATAATTTGCTAAAATGCACTTTACTGTCGTGCTTAAGCCTCCATGTTTATCTCCTGACAGCGACCACAACAGTAGGCTCTAAAGCAAACACGTAACTGCACTACAAATAGCCTTACCCTAAGCTAACCACAAACACTCACACACCAATGCAAGCAAAAACCACAGACGCGCGAATGCAACCATTTTAAGCCCCACAAAAACACACACACACACAGACATACAGGCACAGGGTCAAGGTCAATGGAGACAACGAGGCGTCATAAGCTACACGAGATTTATGGAATCATTCGCGTTCCATGGCTGCCTAAAATTTTAACAGCAAATGTTGCATGTTGCACGGCACATGAAGTACGCATTAAGTTGCTCATACGCCATGTATGACTTCTGAGAAATTTGTCATATGGAGGGCGCTGACAAGAAGGCAACCGCACAAGAGTTAGTTAGTTACTCGATAGTGCGGGACTGACGTCAGGTCTAATTAAGTCAAATTGCTGTAATTAGCCGAGACAATAGATAAATGACCACAAGCAAGCAAAATGTGAAAAGCCTTTTTCGAGCACACATGTGAAGGTCAAATGAAAAGCTGTCAAAAGGCACACGCTTAACCCATCGCTCTACTTTACAGTTACAAACACGGAATTTTCAATTTCATTTAACTGTATTTGAAAAAAACACTTGTTATACTGCGAGAAAAAATGAAATAAACGTTTAATTCCTTTAAGCTGCACGGTAGCAAACCTCAACTTGTTGGCATTTAGATTTAATCATCAGGCATTCAATTAGATTAGAAAAAGGTAATCCATCTTACAATGAAATATATTTCCCTATTACTTAACAATACAAATAAAGAATAAATGATAATGTCTAGAGCCCCACTATAGCGTTTCTTAGCCAGATTGTTTAAATGAACCTAGAGTTAGAAACAACAGGAACAAAGTGTTATAGAAAAGGGGTGCTTTTATGTTCAAATATGTTCCATATGATAAAGTTTGTTTTTAATGATCAATTGATTCAATTGATAAACATAATAGATCTGAATATTTCAATGTTCAATCCAAAACGCAACTCTTTTTAATCTGATGAAAGCTTTTAAGCTTCTTAGCTTCAATACGATTTCGTTTGAGCTAGTTTATAATTTTCTCCAAGTGTATTTAACTTTAACTCACATGCAAAATGGTCGGCTGCGTGATGTGATGTCCATTAACAAAGGTCAAGGCATCCGTGTGCAACGGCGTCACAGTGCACACACCCTCGTGCAGCGAGATGAGACAATGTCGGGGCTGTATGGAGGGTCCGAAGAGCTGCAAGCAATTCGTATTGGCCGAGCCCACCTCCACGGGATCACTGCCGAGCTTAATGCGTCTCCCGCCATCGCCGCTGTGCGTTACCTCGACAAGGACTGGTCCCTCGCGATCGCTGGACATGTGATTGGCTCCATTGGAAGCACCCAGTGGCTTTTTCTTGCGTCGACGTGGTTGTGAATCCGCCGGCCGACGACGCACGTGGAACATAATGGAGCCTGAAACGAGATGGAAAATCAAAAACCATTAGCTGGGTCTAGTTGTGCAATCATTTAAAACGCTTTTACTTGCTAGATTCATTGTGCAATGGAGTGTTTTGAAACTTTTCTGAAAATTATATATCTTAGTTGCTTGCAACGGCAGCTTCGCAATTTGCGGCCTTTGGCTTGGAAATCTCGCTGGGAAGTGCAGTTTAGGCGCTGGTGCCGAATAGAAAAATCTGATATGCAAATATTGAATGACTGTATGATGATGGGAGACAGTGATGGCAATATATATTGGGAGTAGAGGTTGAAATTTTAACAAACATGTTTGATATGAAAACAAAATTGATGCAAAATAAATGCATATAAGTTGTTTTTTTTTTTATTAAAAGTACTCGTATTTACTAACAAATAAATAAAATTGTTAGATTACAGATGTTTTTTGCTAGCCGTTATATTTTTTTATGAATTAACTTTTTCGGCTCAAGGTCAATCCAGATATTTTTACGTTGCATTCTGTTTCATATATCAAAAGCTTGTTGGCAATTAATTTCGGAGTAGTAGCGAATGTGAAGTTTATAAATTCTATCAGATTTAGATTAAAAATTGACATACTCTCTTGTGTAGAGGTTATTCTATACACTGTTGTAAACAATTTTTTACGAAAACAAAAACAAAAGACATTTTTACATCGAATATAAGTTAATTAAATGGCATGCTCAGTATTTACCAAAACTAGTTTCGAAAAACATGGGTAAACTTTGAAAGAAATATTAAAACTGTGAAATCATGGTAGTTTGTTGTCTAAACATTTTTTTTGAGGACTGGGAAGTATTTGTTGTTTTCAACTTTTACAAGCCCAATTAAAACATTTCATAAAAGAGAATGAAGTCACTAAATCAATCATCAATTGAAGCAAACTTTTTTTAAGAAATTTAAAAAAGCCAAACTCTAATAAAAGTATTCCTCTATTGCTGTTCCATCCAATTTATTTGTGCAAAGCTTTGCTGCATTTTACAGCCACGATTGTAATTCGGCTCCGGGGCACGTCACAAACCTATCAAACAATGCAATTTGTACGCTCCCATGAGACAGCAGAGAAATAGAAAAAAAAAGAAGAAGAACAATTTCGAAAAACGAAATCAAATTCTAGCAGCATCATCAATTTCAGTTTCGATATTAGCTTGTTATTGCATTGTTCATTTTTGGCGTGCGTCGAAAAGCGTAAGCGAGCAAAACAATAAAGCCGGAAAGCAGTTGCCTTCGACCTATTCAGTCAGTCACTCAGTCACTCACACTGCCAGTTAGTCAGTCAGTGAGTTAGTCAAATAGACAGTTGAACGGACAGCATCACGCCGTCCGTTTCCATGATATCAAAAATATTTCTATATTTTTTATTTTTTCCTTTTTAGTATTGAAGAGTCAACAGCTATGTAGAATAGAACAACCAACGCCCCCACAGGCGGCCGTGGAGCAAAAAGTTGTGGAAGGAAAATACGAGTAGTGTATGCATAGCTAGCTGATGTTGATTATGTTAACTTTGGCTCTACTTTTGTTTTTATTTTTATTTTTGTTTTGTTTTGCTTTTTGCATTGCACAGAATATTAAACGAAGCATGCAAAATATGATGGCAGATAGACAGACATGGCAGTACAGCAGCCCGGCCGGCCCCTTTTTGATAAATTTGTCTACTTTTGGTATCGTTGGTTGGTTAAGAAGAAGTGGTTTGTTTCTGGGGCTTGTCTGGGGAAAATGCAACAATCAACCAAATATGTAATGCAGTGCATTGCCCCAAAACTTATTAAGCATGATGTGATGCCCAACTTGGTTGTGGCAAAATATGCAACAATGTGGAACATTGTGCCATTGTGCAACGGGGCGTATGGGAAATGTGGAAATTGGCACACAAATCTATAGGGTATACGGATTGCTGTAAAAGCTTACTACAACAACAAGAACTAACATATCACATTATATTTTTGTACCTTTTCGTCGAAACCAAAAGAACCACATTTGTTATTATGTCTTATTGTTGTGGTTGCTGTTTCTGTTGTTTGGGGAATTTTGATGATACGTTATGACGTTTCGTATTTCTTTCTCTGCCGTTGCCGTTGTTGTTACTGCTGTTCATAGCCGGCAACTTAAGCTGAATTATAGCATGATGTTATAGCTACAATATCATTGTTGCTCTTACTGTGCAGATTGTCATTGTTGTTGTTATTGTTGTTGTTGTAAAACAAAAGTTGCAAAGAGCTTGCACCAGCTTGCACCAGCAACACAAAAATGAACTCAAGTGGGAATACTGAAGATGTCAAGTACTAGGTAAACCAAACAAAAAGCTGCGCACAAATACCATAAAAGAAGGCAAGGATTTACAATTACTGTGGTATCACAATGAGGGTTGGGGTAGCAGGAGGTGAAGGATTGACGTACAATGTGGCTTTCATGTGTTAGTTTTGATGTGTGTTTACATTAATGTTGGTTGTGGGAGCAAGTCTCAAAGCATGGAATTCTTAATTGAATGCCTGATTGGTTGCTATGAAGGTTTTCACCTTCTTCTCAATGCTTAAGTACTCTTGGCGGCTTCTCGGCATATACATAATTCTCAAGTAAAAGTGGTTAAGCTAAAAGTGAACATTTATTTTAAAATATAACCAACTACTTTTTTTTTTGTTTAACACTTTAGTGATTTGATTTAATTTTCAAACGCCATTTTGCCAGATAGGTTATCATTTCTATGTTGTCTATGTAGTTATGAGAATTTTAAAGTCTTTTCTTCTTTTAAATTGTATCTAATATTTGCGTGAAATGGATGAACTCCTGCGAATTTTAAATGTTTCGGTCGTGATATTCAAAAGAAATAATTTTTCAAATATAAACTTCTGTATATAATATAATCTTTTATTTCCATTGATTCTAAAATAGTTACTGGGCTGCTTCTATTTCGTTGATTCATGTAAACTACTATATAATGAGCATTCATGTTATCTACATATCTGCACGAAAACGTACGAATTTAAAAACAAATATGTTTTCCAAAACTCACATATTTCCTAAAATTAATTTAAAAAATACAACACACATGTCATTAAGCGTATTTTTCAAATTTTTATTGTTTCCTAATATTTCAATTGGAAACCCCAAAAAATAATATTTAAACCAATAATCAACTTCAAGCATAGTTCAACTCTTTAATCCAAACATAAAGTAATTTTTACAAGCTCCACAATTTCCTCAATCGTGTTTAAAAATCAAACAGAAATGGCTAAACCACTAAATCCTTTCGATAAATATTAAGAGCATTGAAACATACAAATTTTTGAACATATTATATTCATTAGCCCCATTTTGAAAATAAAGCTAAAATACATTTAAACATTTAGTTTATTAATTATCTAATGGTTCTAGAATATTTGCTAATTCCAGCATCAAATTTTAATCCAAGCTTCCTTTTTCATTGATTGAGGGAGATTGTTAATTCTTTAATTTATAACATTTCATTAGCTGTGCTGACAGCTCTTTCTAGTCCAAGGATATTTGTTTGGCGTGGCAGCATGCCTGACCATCATTAAGCTTATGTCTAATATTGATTCAAACTTTCAAAAAAGTAGACAGCATACTTAATTAAATGAACGATACTGTAATTTATGACTAACGTGCAATTGTAAATCAATCAGCAGTGCAAGTCTGATGAGGCGAACTCATTTTGCATGCATGAACCGTTAAACCAAACAACTACACTACAACATATAGTCGTACGTATGTACATATATACGAGTAGGTATGTGGGATGGAACACCTTCTCCAACACATGGGCAATGAGTGCTTTCAAGCATAACGTGCCAGTGGCAGGTACAGGATATTCAATAGCAAACGGATAGTTAAAATTTCCGCTGTCAATGTGCCACACAAGCAATACATATACGAGTGTACAAACATATCTACATGTGCACGGTCTTTGTGTCCATGCCGGTGTGCTGTAAGTGTATTAAATTCAAATAAAGCAATGGCCAACACAAGAGCGAAAGTACACATTTTTCCACCTTTTTCTTTTGTGGACACATCCTTGGCAGTTGACATTTAGACACGGACAGGCAAAGGGCGAAAAAATGTGTTGGCGGATGAGTGGATGGTGGAACGTCGTTGATAAGATAAAGCGAGCAAAGTAGGAAGAAGCATTTTAATTGTGCGGTACCCCCTCGGCTCTTCCCTCTTGGTCAATAGGAATGCATGGGTAAAGGTAACAAAAACGGTAGAAGAAGAAAAAACAAAACCAGGAGCCACGAAATTGGTTTATATACCGAACCGTAGCCATGAACGCCATACACAATGTTGACAGAAGAACGAACGAATGGCAGAGAGCAAAGGCAGCGAAAGCAAACGCGGTAGCCATGAAATTGATTTTGCTAACGTGTAAGGATCAAGCCAGGCCATATATGCACTGTGGACAAAAATTTTAACCGAAACAGAATTTTAAATAGAAAAATAAATATATAAATAAAAGATAAAAATAAAACTTAGCGAAGCAATAATTTAATTAAACTCTTTTAAAATATCCAATGCAGTTTGTGAATCCAATATTTAAGTAAAGCCTAGTATGGCTATAGAATTGCCATCAATAAAGCAGTTTTTTCAGTGTAGCTTTGCATATGTACATATATCTGTAACCGTGACTGTGCCTGCATGTCTGTGTGTGCTGTGTATTCCCATTGTATTGGCACGTGCATAAGTGCGCATAAATTGGCAACAGCGTGGAAAAAATAAAACCAAAATCGTTGCATGTAAGTGAGAAAATTGCATAACGAGTTGACTGAGAGCGCCTGAAGGTATGCTACAGTTATGTGGCCTATCCACATAAGCATGTGGTTGTGTGCGTTTGTCATGCTAATGGCGACCACAGTGGCCGGCCAAGCGTTTTAGCCAGTTTAATGGCATCGCCAATGTCCATTTGTCCTTGTGGAATGCCATGTGTGCGGGCATTAATTTTTATTAGCAAGGCTTTCGTCTAATCGCCG